AATGCTCAAGAAACTAGAAAGTACCCGAAATGGTCATGAAATAACAAAAAGGAAAATATGCATGGAAATGAACTAAAATGCGAATGAAATGTGCTAAAATAAACTATGAAAAGAAGTAAATGTAGACGAATGTGTACAGTTTAACAAGTTGAAGGGGTAAATGTAGACGAAAAAAAACTCAGTGACCAAATATATACAAATCGAAAAATATATTACCATTTTAAGTCATTATCCCAAAGACTAAAATACCATTGTGTGCAAGGCATATGGGACACTTAAGGTCCCGTTTGATAGTTTCTTTCCGGAAAAGTACTGTATGGGAAAGTTTTCTGACTGGGAAGGAAACCATGTTGTTTGATTGTACATCTGATTGATTGTGCTGAATGATGAAAAATGACAATATTATCCTACTGTTCTATATTGTGATGGATAAAGTTGCTGAATAATTATAAAATCATACAAATTGTCATACAAAATCAAAATTACACAATAATCATTTAAAAATCCAAACATGATGTCAATTAAGTTGTTTTTAGTTTATTGTTTTTTAAGTTAATGTTATGTTGTTATTTTTTCTAGTCATTTTTGTTTTTTATAACTCAACATGTGATTCTTGATCCGATTTATGTCCGATAGTGGTGGGATGGATGAATTTTTTTTAAATATATTAGGATGATGGTGGTGTTGTAAAAAAAAGAATTAATACAATAAAAATGAATTATAATAATTAACTAAAAGAAATTAATAATCCAATAAAATAATATTTATTAATATATAAATATTATATATTTATAAATAATATTTATTAATATATAATAATCCAATAAAAAAGAATTATTTAAAAGAATTTAATAATCGAATAAAATAATATCAACCAGTATATAAATATTATATATTAAAAATAATATTTATTAATATATAATAATCCAATAAAAAAGTAATAAATCAAAAAAAATTAAAAACATATGCATCTATCTCTAAATCGACTTTCTCCTTAATAATTGTTTACTCACCTAAAGTAAGGAGTCATTAGGAAGTTCTTGATAACCAGGGTATATCGGAAAGTGGGGAACACGTTCTAGTGCAACTAAAATTGAACCATTTATAGGTTGTCTGTAGATCTCGCTGCTTAATTTAAGTGAACAACAATACTCGTGGTCGTCGTCAGCAAAATACTTTATTTAGAAAAGTTTGTCGATATCCTTCGTGTTTAAGTGGACCACAATACCAGCAATTGACCGGATCTATTCATGAAGGTGAAGGTACTGATAAAGAAGTTAAGGCTGTCTCACAACTTCGATCTCAAATATTTTTGTTTTTGTTAAATTTGTTCATAGTTTTCCTCTATGCATAAATTTAGGGGGAGAATTAAAAAATTTTTAAAAAAAATCAACAAAAATTAAAAAATCCAAAAATAGTGTTATATTCTGTTTTATTTCTCGTTCAGAAAAATCAAAAATTCAAAAATATTTTTGTTTCTGTTTTTATTTTTCCAGAAAATATAAAAAATTCAAAAATATTGTGTGCTAAGTTTCCTTTTAGTTTTGTTTTGTCTTGAAAAGTGAATTCAAATGTAGATGAAACTTATGGAGTCTGTGTCGAAAATTTATGAGTCAAGGCTTCGTCCGTGATCATCGAAGAATTCTCATTCGAAGGAGCAAGAAATGAAGATTATTCTTTAAACATTCAATCCTTCAACCCCAGAAGCAAGGTGAAGCTGCACTTGAAGATCATGTAACAGATCGCATTGAAGCCTCCTCAATCAATTTGCTGCTATCTATGTACCTGCTGAAGTGATCCAGAAGATTCGTTCTCTCTAATATTCTCTCTGAAGATTCTCAAGCTGAAAGCGCTATCTTTCAAGAATCAGTACATCAAGCCTCCTCACCCAATTATATTTCAAGAATCAATACATCAAGCCTCCTCACCCAATGTGCGTTCAATTGCAAATTCTGAAGAAAAGCCCAACTGCTCAAGATGAAGTCATTCATAGAAGATTAATATGTTCATCTTGATGTTGTGAAGAAAATTGAAGATTAAAGCTGAAGCCAAGCTCCCATTGAAGATTGACAAGAAAAGTCAGCTACTTTTTAGGGGGAGCTTGTTGGGTCAATTAGAAAAGAAAGTTATAAACCAAGGGGGAGATTGTTGGGTCAAAATTTGGTTTATACTTTGCTTTTCTAGGCAATTGTATTTTTCTGTTAAGTAATATGTGTTTACGGTTGTGTTTACGGCCGTGAACAGGTTTACGGCCGTGAACCTGTTCACAGCCCATGTCTCATATATATAAGGTGAGGAGTGCATGTGATGAGGAAAAGGCTAAAGAGAAGGTGATAGCATATTGTAGAGAGAGAAAGTTAGAGAGAAGAGAGGAGCTTAAGTGTGTGTATTCTAAGGTGTTCTAGTGAGAGAAGAGAGAGAAAAAGGTGCAAGTGTGTGAATCTTGTGTATTGTTCATCATTCCAATCTTGAATACATCATAGATTCATATTATTCTCCTTCTCCTTCTTCTTATTTTGATCTGGCATCATCCATTTGATTGGGATTCCGCACCATCAAACGGATCTGATTGATACACAAGCAGATTTGGGACTTACATGATGTTATGCTCATAACCCAACAGAAAGACCTATTTATTTTTGCATATCAAATAGTCTTTCTGGTCCATTCAACCAGAAAGATATATTTGGACCTGGAAAGATGTCTATCAAACAGGACCTTAAATGGAAACCGTTAACGGCTAACAATGATATGGCCTAACCGTGCAAGGAAATGGCAACCCAGAACGGTCCGAGTTAATTTTAAAAAAAAAGGGATTGAGCGTGCTTTTTGGCACCTGCATGAGGGAGGATTCGTGTAATTTACTCTTAAAAATAAGATTTAGGGACAAACATGAAAACTGCCTAAAACCATAGGGACCATTTGTAGCGAGGATATTTGATTTTCTATTCTCTCATCTTTTAACTTTGACTGTCCGTGTCTACGCAAGTCATATCCTCTCAATAGCTTCACTTTCCACATGTCCCAGGCCGCCGAAGAAAGAGCTCCTTACGAAAGCAGTGAGGATAAAGAAAAGTCCCGTAAGAGGCCTTTCAGGCCAGGTTTAACAGCATTTCTCTGAATTGCTTCTGTTTTTAATTTCGTCAGCTTATTTGGGGCGTATTTGGCTGTAATCAGATATTATTTCTTATGACTATCATAATTGGTGTGATTTCGTTTTAGGTTTTTTTTCTTGTTTTTCTTTTCATTAGATGAATGCTTCATCTTTTTTATTTGATTGATTTCTTTTCGTTTGCGGTGCAAAGGCATTTATTTAACCACATAATTAATATGTCATGCAATTAGGATTTAGTTTCGTCTTAGTCAATATTAGAGCTCTGTTTGAACTTCTTAAGGTTTCTTCAATATGGTTGCAGAACAGAAAGCCACTTCAGCATAAGGAATCAGGCAATTTAGGGTTACTGGTAGTTTTACTCATTTAATTTATACTGTGAGAAAATTGAGTAGTCAGGATGTTTAGAGGGATGTACTATATATGATGGCAGTGAAAGTAGGTCAATATTCCTCATCATAATGGAGGTTAGTCTGTAAGTTTGTTTATGTACAGCTCTTGGACATATTTAGGCATTATACAGGTGGAACACACACTGTTTTTGATAACTGAGAAACTGTGACTTTTTCTGAGTTCGCTTGATCAAGGAAGAATTTATGAATTTGGAACATGTTTTGATCATAAGTAAAGGTATAATTGACTTCTTCCATGATAATTCTTTAATTTCTTGGTTGTCTATGAGTATGCACATCGGGCTTCATGTGATTTTGCAGTCCGTAGATTATGTGAACTAGATCATTCAAGACGGGATTCCTAAAGTAGGCAGTAGTCATGCATGTTTACAAGTTGTATAGTGAATGGAAGTCAGGATGCTTGACACAAGCAATTTTATGTAATAGAGTGAACTTCTGATCTCATCCATGTGTACAAGCTCGATAGCAGGTTTCAATGATGATTGATGACACATGTAAGAATTGTGAGTAGAGAATAGATGTTCATGTGGTAATTTGAATTTTTAAATTTCGAATTGGTCTAATAAATATTAAGTTGTTAGTTTCGATAGTATAAGAGCCTTAAAGCATGCGTTCAGCATATGCTTCTGGACATGTCAAAATTGCTTACTGATAAAATAATTTGAGATTATAGTGCGGAAATGGAGGATAGCATATGACACTTTTATCATAGTTGTCATACATTTGCATCTTTAAATCATTTTTCTTGTAGTAGTTAATAAGCAGCAATGGGCCAGTCTTGTTGTAAATGTCCCTATCATAAGATAATCATAATAAATACCCTTTGTATTCACTTGAGCTTCTGCTTATGATGTACATTTCCCTTACAAAAGCTCTTATGTGACCAGAGATTAATGAAGAACCCCAGAATGCTACTCATAAGACAGGGAAAAATGTAAGTTGTTTCGATAATTTTGGTGTTTGATTCCTGCATGTTCTGGATATTAATTGTGTGCTTAACATAATGGATTCTGGTATAATGGTATCAAGAGTTATGCAGCTGATATCATCTTAACTTTGCTGATTGTAACTTCTTTTGGTTTTCACATATTATCTTTTAATCAAGTTCTCGCTTGAGTTTTGCTAATTTTAGGTAAGATGGCAAACCAACAATATTCGTATTTTTCGGTTTTATGATATTTTTCATGACTTGTGTTATTGGTTTCATCCTGCTTGCTATGTATGTATTGTTCCTAATACTGAGATGTGCTCTCCTATGAGATGCTCTTTACTTGAAGTCATCAAGAACTATCATCTATCATTTAGTGTTTGGGTTTTTTAATCATTAAAATTGCTCATAAAGTGGTAAATGTCGACAAATAATGTTGGAGTTCATGAAGTACTAAGCCTTGCAATGTTGTGGGTATAGACATGTAGTTGGGGCTTTTGATTTGGGTTCAGAGACATTCTGTGAAATGCCTTTTCCAGATTCTTTACTCGATGGCACGCGCTTCAATGCTTTAGGAGTTTTGGGTAGAAAGCTATGTGTGATGTCGTGGGTGGTCACGAATAGCGTATATGAGGTGTGGGTGATGGAGGATTATGGGGTGGCTGAATCATGGGTCAAACGCCATGTCTTTTCGCAGTTTAGTGTTGCAGGTTCCTTTGGATTCACGTTACATGATGAGTTTCTTGTTGAAGATAATGAAGATCGTTTTGTTTTGTATGATCCAAATGCAAACAAGACTAAAATGTTCAAGGAATTTGATTATGATATAAATCCTTATCGCGCAGATAAAGTTGTCAATTATGTTGACAGTCTTGTTTGGGTAGCACCGGTCAAGCATGAGACGGTGGATGGCGCAGGACCAAGTTGAAATAGAGAGATGCCGAGATTATTCAGTTAGTTTTATGTCAAGTATCCATTTTTAGTACATTACACCAACATTCTCTCTTTCCGTTTTAGTTTGATTTCTTCTAAAATTGCTAAAGGCTTGTGGACTCTATTTTTTTGGGTTGTGTTCAAATTTCTAGTGTTTTTGATGTGTTTGTCTTATACTTTTGATGTTGAAGATTACAAGCATTTTAAACCACTAATTTAAAGCTGTGTATTCTTGCTTTACAATTTCAAGAATTATGTTTTTGATAGAATGCTTCTTGTGTATCATCTTACTTTGTCAAGAGAAAGGCTCAAAGGTAGAATGTGAAACCTTGTAAAACCTCATGAAAGATGAATTTGAGTTGATAAAATGTGGAGATATCAAATTATGAGCAAGTAAGGGTGTATTGGATATTTAGCATGTGGTTGAATAAAGGTACTGATTAGCCAATTATATGGTTGTTGACTTTGAAAAAAATTGTACTGCTTTAAAGTGTTTACAAGGTAACGTATGAAGTATATAATGATTTGTGACGTAGGATTTTTGTGATAGATTTCATATGGGAACAACAATGTCAATGATCACCCATAATAAAGATGTAGGCATATATGCCAAATAGTGAAACCGAGGTTAGTTTGGTATGGTTACAAGTGAGCTAATGTCAATCTTTTAAAAGAAGTGAAAATTATTAGACCCTAAAAAAAACTCATTAAGCATATACAAGCACGTTCATGTCAAGTACTCTTATTTTTTCTAAAAATGACAAGTGGGGAGATTATGCTTTTAAGTGTTTTACATTTTGGCTATGCCATAAATAATATGGAAAGAGGTTGAAAGTATGGTGCCTAAATAAGCAAATTTAGACTTTTTAGTCTAAAATTCCAAATTAAGGTTATTGTTACTGTAGTCCAACCAACTATTTGCTTTTGATTATTGTCACTGTAGTCCAACCAACTATCCATTTTTAAAATAAGGTTATTAGGGTTATTGTCACTGTAGCATCCACATAGGAGAGAAATTAGAACTACTCACTACGTCAAAAATGAAAGACAAACAAATACTCGTCCTATATCTTTGGATCCTTGATTGTACAAGTACAAATGTATTTATACGTTAGAACAAAGGGAGCATCCAGAATCAACAGACAGCATGGTATTATTGAAAATTTTCAACCAGGTAAATGGTTAAATACAATATGATCTCGACAATAAGTCAAAAACCACCTAGCCATGGCATCTACAGACTGAAGATTGTAAAAAATATCCAAAAAAGTTAAGCAATCATATAGAGCATCCATTCAAAAGATTAAAAGAATCACAAACAGTAAATAGAAGATCAATGATGTTGGCAGATTTAATCATTAGAAGTCGGTAATCTTGAGCAAACCAAAAGATTAACAGAAAATACATAACTTACGTTTTGCGTTTAAAATTTGTTAATGTAAATATGTTACGCTCCTGTTAGCCACAGAACTCAAAAGATATAAAATTCTTTCAAAAGTCACGAATCATATAGAACAAGTAGATCTGATGCCTTGTCTTTTGTAGAGACGGTTCTTCAAAATGTGAAATCAATAGATGCTGCTCATCTCATGGGGGAGGTGCAATCCAAACAAGACTGTCGACATACTCCACGATCCTATTTGTGTTACATTTTCCACCAGGATATTTTTCCAATATTCTAGCCTTGTCTGCAATTGGATCGTAGAAAACAAGACAATCATCGGCATCTTCGATGAAAAACTCATTGTGTGATGTGAATCCATTAAATGCATTATCAGGATCATGTGAAAAGTGGAAGACATGGCGTTTGACCCATGATTCAGCCACCCCATACTCCTCCATCACCCACACATCTATTCCACAATTCCCATCTTGTGATGTCACACAAAGCTTTCCCTCCAAAACTCCTAAAGTGTTGGAGCGGTAGTAATCCAGTATAGAATCCGGAAGAGTCATCTCACGGAATGTCTCTGAACCCAAATCAAATGCCACAATCACCTCTGAATCAAGCTTCTCTCATTAGTATGACCAAACCAATGAAGACGCCCATCATGGCCATCTACACAGGCCTTATCATTATCGAAAATCCTCCTGATATGAGATGGAAACCTTTGAGTGATTAACTTCCATGAGCCCGTTCTCATGCTGTAAATCTCAACCTGCAGCCACTTTTTGATGAGACACCGAAAACTAGGAACATCGTCTTCTTCTTCTTCTTCTTCTTCTGATGTTGATGTTTGCTCCGGTCCAGTAAGGCCTGTAATCTTAACAACTTTGTAATCCTGAGTTTTGGGATCAAACCCAAAGCGGAAAGAGAGTTCATAACAACCGCAATAGGGGAAAGAATATGGGGGGAGAGTTGACTCAGCACGGAGAGAGGGATTCCAAATGTGAATGACAGAATCACCATAACTAGAGCATATCAAGCCGTGAACAGAACCGATAATTTTGATCATACGATAAGTATACCCAGGCTTGACCCGGGGGATTTTGATGAAATTAGCGAGTACGCGATGGGGGGATTGAGTCGGATAGAGGTATGAGGTGAACAGTTTGTGGTTTATAGACAGATTGTTGCAGAAGACTACGAGAATTTGATCGTTGTTATTGATGGAATGATGGAGGTGGGATTTTATAAAGGAGGATTCAGATAAGAGGGCATTCCAAGATTTGGAGACACACCTCATTTGAGCAAGCTGTTTCGCCATTAAGAGGATGAATATTTTTGACAGAAGATCACCCGAAAGGTTCTCTATACTTGTTGTCTGTTGTGGTGAAGCCATTGGTGTCATTGGAACATCGCGTTCGACAACAACATTATCACAAGCTCTTGAATGCAACAATGCTGTCAAGCGTTGGATTTCAGAACTGTAACAATATATAAAACATCAGTAGCTAGTGGCCGAATAATTCTAAAGAATGAATGAGGCACCTAAAATAGAATGTAAATAATATTAAAGTGTAAGATTGTACTTAAAGAAAGGCCAACCTAGTAAAGGTCATCTGGTTCAACATTTGTTCAAGCTCTGATGTCCCAATGATAACAGAAGTGCTAGCACGATTCCCAGCTTGACCTGATACTCCAGTTAAATTCTTCGGTTCATGAAATCAAAAGTGCATCAAAGTTACAATGGTTTTAGACAAAATTGTTGGATAAAGCATTGAGACAATGACATCAGAATACACATGTTACCAATGACCACATAAAAAAAGATACTACACCTGACACCAATTTATACTAGGTTCCCTCCATGGCTCCATCTACTGACTCTTTGAAACTATTTTCAAATTATCAAACGAGCTTTTTTAAATAAGTTGTTGCCAACAATGTTACAGGTAGCTTAGCTTAAGAGCATTTCCAATGATAAAAAACACTTGCAACTCCCAAGAAATAGTAGATTATAATTGCAACACAAGTCATGAAGAAATAATATTAAAAAAGTAGAAAAATTATCATTTTGCATCTTACTAAATTTAGCAAAACTAATGAGACGACTTACATTTTGCCCTCCCTCCTGTGAAACATTCTGGCGTTCTTCAATAAGCTCTGGTCACGTAAGAGATATGTAAGAGGCATGTACATCATAAGCAGAAATTCAATTGAAGTAATACAGAAGGCTATTAATAATGAATATATTAAGTTTTAGACAGACAGATAGAAACATCGACAATAAGACCGACCCATCGTTTAAAAAAACGTGAGAAACGCACGCCTTGAGGCGAAGCGGTGGTTGATCGAACTAGAGGCGCCGCCTCAGGGGTAAGAATTGATACGCACGCCTCGTACCAGTGAATCGCATAGGAATCGATTGAGGCGGAACGTTTTCCTGATGCGTACGCCTTCAAATTTTTTTTGACTTTTTGACTATTTGACGTCGTCTTCATTTTTAGCTTTGTTTTATTGACCGGTTTTATAATGAA